GGTGCCGAAAGACTGGAGGTTGGGTAATATGGATTCATTATTTAAGAAAGGTGGTAATGAAAAGCCAGGGAACCATAGATCGGTGAGCCTAACATCAGTGGTGGGCAAGTTGTTGGAGGGTATCCTGAGGCACAGGATTTGAATGAATTTGGAAAGGCAAGGACTGATTACGTATAGTCAACATGGCTTTGTGCATTGGAAATCATGTCTCACTAACAACACTTTTTTGAAGAAGTAACAAAGAAGATTGATGATGGCAGAGCAGTGGATGTGATCTATATAGACTTCAATAAGGTGTTCAACAAGTTTCCTCATGGTAGACTGATTAGCAGGTGAGATCACGTAGAATACAGGGAGAACTAGCCATTTGGATACTGAACTGGCTTGAAGGTAGAAGACAAAGGGTGGTGGTGAAGGGTTGCTTTTTAGACTGGATGCCTCTGATCAGCAGTGTGCCACAAGGGTCGATGCTGGGTCCACTGATTTCCATCATTTATATAAATGATTTGGTATGAACATAGGAGGTCTGGTTAATAAGTTTGCAGATGACAGCAAAATTCAAGGTGTAGTGGACAGCAAAGAAGATTACAACAGGATCTTGATGAGATCAGCCAATGAGCCGAGGAGCGGGAGTTGGAGTTTAATTTAGATAAATGTGAGGTGCTGCATTTGAAAAGGCAAATCAGGGCTACACATACACTTAATGGTAAGGTCCTGGGGAGTGTCACTGAACCGAGACCTTGGAGGCCAGGTTCATAGTTCCTTGAATGTGGAGTCGCAGGTGGACAGGATAGTGAAGATGATGTTTGGTATGCTTGCCTTTATTGGTCACTGCACCGAATATAGGAGTTGGGAGGTCATGTTGTGGCTGTACAGGACATTGGTTAGGCCACATTTGGAATACTGTGTGCAAATCTGGTCCCCTTGCTGTAGGAAGGATGTTGTGAAACTTAAAAGGGTTCATAAAAGATTTACAAGCATGTTACCAGGGTTGGAGCTATAGGAAGAGGTTGAATAGGCTGGGGCTATTTTCCCTAGAATGTCAGAGGCTTATAAAATCATGGCGGGCATGGATAGGGTAAAAAGACAAGGTCTTTTCCCTGGGATGTGGGAGTCCAAAACTAGAGGGCATAGGTTTAAGGTGAGAGGGGTAAGATTTAAAAGGGACCTTCAGGGCAGCATTTTCATGCAGAGGGTGGTGCGTGTATGGAATAAATGTAATGGTTTCCAGTCACCATACAGTGTAAGGGCAGTAGGCTGAAACTTAGCTGCATCTTCCTTCTGCAATGAAAGATTGGTCCAACTTACTTCGGATTGAGCTAGTAACAATTTCTGATCATTGTCACTTTTGCCATAAATAGCAAGTGCTGGTAATTTGCATTGATAGCTTCTTGAAGATTAAGCTTTTGTTTCTTGTCATATTACCATTTTGTTTTAGACCATCATCCCCTTTGCCGATTAATCTCCTTATCTTTCTGCCTTATCAGATTTCTCTTTTATTCTTCACTCCACTCTCACCTGCTTGTGTTCTTCCTTCAAAAAATTCATATTCCTTATCCTTTCTCTTGCAAACAAACTAAGAATATCCTGCTTGATACAAAATTTTTCACCCAGGATTTTGTTTGTACTTCCCGAATTTTGTTTGAGCCTGAAAGATTCTGAACACTTTTTCCAGTATGTAATTAGAAACCGTATGCCCTAAATGAATAATTTTGCCAAAATCTGAAAGCATTTAAACATGTTACACAAATCGTTTTAAGTGTTTTCATTGAAGAACTCAGAATATACGCTTTAAAAAGATCTGATTTTCTTCAGACTTTCTACTACTGCAGACTCAATGGATTGAATGGCTTACTTCTGCTTGTACGTCTTACGGTCACTTTTTCAGAAGAGCTGTCCAAATCCTATTCAAGTCATAAAATGGGCTTTCATTGGTGGTTCTCAATAATCTATTTAATTCACTTTTATTATGAACAGGAGGAAAACACAGAATACAATTTTGTAATTTAGATGAGAAGATTTGCATTAATAATTTGCAGCACAAGTGCCAGAATTGTTATTAAACAAGTAAGCAGATATTTATCTTCAATGGTCAGTACCATGATATTGAATTAACAAAAATAAAAATAAGCACCAAAATTCATTGAATTAAAACCTGCAGGAAGTTTTGTTTTAAAGTACAGTGCTTATTGCGAGAGCAGACAGAGTTGACTACAAAAATCTCATGTTCAATATCTGGTCTGGGTTCACCTACCTAATCTCAAATTGTTGACATTGTGGGTGGATGGCAGAAAGCAAACGTTGTCATGACTCCCACCTGACATCTCCTATTGAATGTACAAGTTGAGAGATCAGAAAGCAACATGTTGAGTCTCCAAGTGACACTCTCTGGGCTCTTACATGAAGAATTCTACTAGGTTGAAGTGACCTGTAAGGAAAGAAGTCTCAATGCCTTCAGGAGGATAGTGTTGAAATTAATTCCATTGTTTCACTATTTTCTATCTCCGTAATGTCTTCCATCTCCAGAAACACCCAAGAACACAATACTCTACTAATTCTGGTTTCTTGTGCATGCACAATCTTCTTTGTCCCATCATTTGTGGACGCGCCTTCAAATATCTGGCCTTCAAACTTGCTTCCAAAATCTTAAAATCCGTACAGTATGGAAACAGGCCATTTGGCCCAATAAATCCATACCAACCCTCCAAACAGCATCCCACCCAGACCCATCCACTTACCCTATCCCTGTAACCCTGCATTTCCCATGACTAACATACCTAACAAACACATCCTTGGACACTATGGGCAATTTAGCATGGCCAACCCACTTAAGTTACACATCTTTGGGCTGTGGGAGGAAACCAGAGCACCCGGTGGAAACCCATGCAGACACAGGGAGAATGTGCAAACTCCTCACAGGCAGTTGCCCGAGGGTGGAATTGAACGCGGGTCCCTGGTGCTGTGAGGCAGCAGTGCTAGTCATTGAGCCACTATACCACCCTCTTTGTTCCTGCAAGACATGGAGGGAGGCGACAGCTTAGTGGCATTATCACTGGACTGTTAATCCAGAAACCCAGAAAATGTTCTGGGGACCCAGGTTCAAACCCTGCCATGGCAGATGGTGGAACCTAAATTGAATATAAATCAGGAATTGAGAGTCTAATGATGACCATGAAACCATTTCCAATTGTCAGGAAAAATCCATCTGATTCACTCGTGCCCTTTAAGGAAGGAAACTGCCATCCTTAACCTAGTCTGGCCTACATGTGCAATGTGGTCAAAACTTAACTGACCTCTGTAATTAAGGATGGGCAATAAATGGCTGGCCTAGCCAGTGATGCCCATGTCCCATGAATGAATAATTAAAAAAAAATCTTAAAAACACTCCTGTTTTGATCAAGCTGATGACACTTCTCCTAATAGGTGTGTTATGGTGCTTAACTTACTCTGGTAACACTCCTGTGAGGCAAGTTGGGACATCTTATTACATCAGAGATGCTGTATAAAACTAGAGGCTGTTGTTGAAAAGCAGAAATAATTGAAGGGGAAACAAATTATCGTGAAACTTCTCAAGAACCTGGTTGTAACTTCATTTCACCTGCTGAGACTATCAATGTCACTATGCAGCAATTAATACGGTTTGTACTAAACCAGACAGGACTTAATACGATTTGGCTCAAGTCCAGTTTTAGTTGCAGCTGTGAAATAAACAATCAGACTGTAATGAACAGGATTATTGCAGAATCCAAATAAGAACTTCCATCTTTAATTGAATTAAAAGCACTTCATATTCTTTGTGCTCACAATGTATTCCTATATTGTAAATGATGAACTGTTTTGATGTTACAGATGACTACTTTTGTAAAGGTCAGCTTTGAAATGTAGATAGGTAGGATTACAGCACCCTTGGATGTTCTGAATTTCTTGGCATGAAACCTTAGAATGCACTAGGTTTATGAATGAAATTATGTGCATATGTGAATGCAGCGTACATTCTTGTCTCCATTGGCTATATTGTGCAAAACTGTGCAATTCTGTGGCTGTAGATTGGTATTGGGTCATGATTATCCTGTCAAACATGAAACGCAGGTTGCATTCCATCATGCAAATGTTACCCATTAGTTCAGGCATTATATAATTATAAAGATTCTTAAATACACTGGACATAAAAGACTAAGACTCTTGGAAATGTTAAAATAATTCTGAGCAGTAGTAAGGTAGGCATTATGTTAGAGCAGCAATATGTTGAGCTAAGATAGTGAGATTCAACGTATTACATGACTGAGTTCCTGATCTTAGATGTACTAATGGGTACAAAAGAGGAAAGAGTAGTAATGTCAAGCTGCAGCAGCCCATTTGCTGTGACCGCTTCAGGACAACAGCAGTGCAAAATCCAGGAATGAGGTGCAGTCTGTGTCCTAGGCTGGAGGTAATGTAACACAGTGAGGATGAAAGAAAACAGAAATATCATCAATAATAAAAGACAACATAATAATCTCAAACCTTTGACAATTAAACCTACTGTTTCTACAAAACACCTGATTATATTTTACAGTGGTGTTACTAATAAGGAATGAGTAAAATGAAACAGGCAAAGAAAGCATTGACATAACACCATTTAACCTTTTGAAAACCATGTTATATTGGCAAACTGGTCATTATATCCTCACAAACCTCGCAAACAGAGGTCTTGTGGCATGGTGGGTCATGTCCCTCCCTAAGCAAGATGCTCAGAGTTTGGGTTTGATCTCAGTACTTGAGGCCAAGAAAGATGCTTTGTAACACAACCAAACAGGTTTAGTATCTAACTGCAAAATCTTTCAACACACAACAATGGAAGAGGTTCCTAGTTAGCCATGTGTTGGAAAGAATGTTGGGCCTTTGCTATCAGTATCTATAGCTCCAGACTACAATAAACACAAAAGTGTACATTGTTACAGCAATTCAGATTCCCCGAGTGAAGTGTACTATACCACCATTACCAAAATAGTAAACAGGTATAAAAGAAAATAAAATCTTTATTAACATTTTCTTTTTCAACATGTACAGTACAATATCACAAATATAACACGGTTACCCATTAAAGCAATAAAACAAATTACTGTATATCGATAACACTGACATCTATGCAAACCTATCTTTTCTTTCAGTTGTATGATAAGGTGTATTTACACTGTAAGTTTAGTATTAGTGCAAAGGAGTTAAACATTACACTGGTACTAATCTTGTGCAGTGCAAACTGGGTTTTAAGCCTTGGACTAACTATGAAGTGCAGAAAGATCCCAGACTCCAGGAGGCTCACTCTGTTTTGCACTGGTTCCAGGTCAGGACCGGACTGCAGATTTAGATTGCATTTATAATATCAACACAGCATTAAGGTTTACACTAACAGGTGCAGTGGAAATGCATTCCAAGTGGTTCACCAACAATGGGTTTATAAGTAGAATCGCAGGTGCTGAATTGGAAAAACTGCAACTTCAGTTGTGAGATCAGGTCAATGAAAATGAACAGCATGAGGAATTACAAAATCTAGGAAGGTCCTTTAAACATGCTTCAAAAATATCAAGCATTCTTCTGCTTCAATTTTTTGTACCAAGCAGGACACTCTCTGTTTGTCTGCAAGAGAAAACAACAATTCAAATTAGGAAGAACATAGCATCTGAAAATCATTTTCTGTTAAAGAATCCCTTACAGGGTTTTAAAGAAGCTCTTCCAGAAACACCAATAATGACAACATGAACTGCTAGTTTTGTGGACACCAATGTCATTCTCATATTGCACACTGAATCAGTCATGAGAAGGTCCACAGAAGATGAAGAAGTCACTTACACTTGGACGTATTTGAACAATGAATCTACCATCAATAGGGATAAAACAAAATGTCAAAAGCTCAACAGATGCACAAGTTATTTTATTTTGTTTGACACAAAACTGCGTCACTCAATTATTACATACAGCAGATGCGTCCAAGATCTTGTCTTCATGGACCATACTAGCATGTACCATGACACCCTAGTTATTGGCATTTTGCCATTAATTTGTAGATTTCTCAAATTGCTGATGCCAAGCTTGCATATTCTGATTGAGAATATACGCACTAATGAGGCAACGATAACAAAAACAAAAGCAAAATATTGTGGAAGCTAGGAATCAGAAATAAAAACAAAAAAACCTGTTATTCAGGCAGTCTAAGACCAAATGGAACTAGGGTACAAGTGATGGTTATTTGTTAAGTATGGTCAGTGTTTTGTGATGTTGGAAGTTGAAATGAAATTCTGACTAGGGAAGTCCATGTCTGAACTCTGTTTAGCCAACCTTTAACTTCTGCCTTCACCCCTTCTCTTCCCTCCCACAACAATGATAGACTCCCCCGGTCCTTACTTACCACCTCATCACCTTCCGAATCCAAAAGATTATAAACTGCAACTTCCATCACCTCCAACGAGAAGCCATGACATATTCCCCTCCTTTGTCATTATTCCACAGGAACTCTGTTCCACTTCTCTTCCATTCCCAACATTTCTCAACAACCCATGGCACTTTCTCATGCAATTGCAGAAGGTGTAAAACTTGCCCATTTACCTGCTCCCTCGTCACCATCCAAAGCCCCAGAAATACCTCCAGGTGTAACAGCGATTTACTTGTATTTCATTCAATCTAGTTCACTGTATTCACTGTTCACAGTGTGGTCTCCTCTACATAGGACAGGCAAAACACAGACTGGGTGATTGCTTTGCAGAACACCTATGTTCTGTCCATAAAAATGACCCAGTTACCTGCCACTTCAACAGTCCACCACATTCCCATGCCAACATTTCTGTCTTGGGTCTGCTGCTGTGTTCCAGTGAGCCTAGATGCAAGCACCTCCCGGTCGCGAACCATTTCAACTCCTCCTCCCATTCCTCAGACGACATGTCCATCCTGGGCCTCCTGCAGTGCCACAACGATGCCACCCGAAGGTTGCAGGAACAGCAACTTATATTCTGCTTGGGAACCCTGCTGCCCAATGGTATCAATGTGGATTTCACAAGCTTCAAAATCTCCCCTCCCTCTACCGCATCCCAAAACCAGTCCAGCTCGTCCCCGCCTCCCTAACCTGTTCTTCCTCCCACCTATCCCCTCCTCCCACCTCAAGCCGCACCCCATCTCCTACCAACTAACCTCATCCCGCCCCCTTGACCTGTCCATCCTCCCTGGACTGACCTATCCCCTCCCTAACTCCCCACCTACACTCACCTTTACTGGCCCCATCCCCGCCTCTTCGACCTGTTTGTTTCCTCTCCACCTATCCTCTCCTCTATCCATCTTCTATCCGCCTCCCACTCTCTCCCTATTTATTTCAGAACCCCCTTCCCCTCCCCCTTTTCTGATGAAGGGTCTCGGCCCAAAACGTCAGCCTTTCTGCTCCTTTGATGCTGCTTGGCCTGCTGTGTTCATCCAGCCCTGCACCTTGTTGTCTCAAAGAACAGCATCTTGTTTTCCGCTTGGGGATTTGCAGCCTCTAGGACTCAATATATAACTTTACACTCTGATTCCATCCTTCCCTATTTTTTCACCAACACCCTGTCCAGTTATGTCATGAATTGCTTTTAGCACAGCCAACCCATTTTCACCCACTCTCAGGCCTATTATCACATGACACAGTTTGCTTCCATTCTCTGTTACCCTCAGCTCTCATTATCACATATTCAGCTTCTCCTATGTTCTGGCCTGCCATCCATAATCCGCTTGTTTACCTAGCGCTTTCAAATCTTTCTCTGAGCTCCATTTCCACCTATCTGTTCAACTCTCTCTCCTAACCTTGTCTTCAACATAAATACCAGTTTTTCTGAGCTGTTATCAGTTCTGACTAAGAGTCACCAGACTCAAATGTTAACTTTGCTTACTTCCTACAGATGCTGCCAGACCTGCCGGGTTTTGGCAGCAATTTCTGTTTTTGTTTCAGATCTCAAGCATCTGCTGTTCTTTGTTTTACTTTAACCTCTGACATTTAACAGAGAGCAAAACCTTTTAGGTATGAGACCTTAAATAGATAAAAGATCTGGGACAGGAGGAAGTCAAGTATCTCTCTGGGTATCAATGTAGTAAACATGAGAAATAGGCATGGCAGTAGACTATTTGCGTCATTTCTGCCATTCAAAACAATCACTTCATCTTCCTGCATAACCAGCTATAACCCTTGACTCTGTTGTCAATCAAAAGTTAATCCAACTCAGCCTTGAGTATGTTGGCTGGATGGCTAGTTTGACGTGCAGAATGATGCCAACTGTTCAATTTCTGCACCAACTCTGGTTACCATGAGGATTTTATTTCTCAACCTCTCCCCACACCTGAGCATGCTGACCTTCATGTTAAATCATCACCAGTCTACTCTCACTAATGAGAGATCAGCCCTGTGGTTCACTAAGACTATGGGACTTTATCTCTACCTTATTGAATTACCTAACCTCCGCTGCTCTCTGAAAGAGAATGCTGGACGCTAACAACTCTCAATGAAGAAAGACTGCTCCAATGATACGCCAGAATAGAGCCATCTTTTACAGGTCTCTATTATTATCTCAAAGGTTGAAGATCAGTAATAGTGTAAATCCTAAGATTTGGACTTCAAAAAAACCTGCCTGTCTAGATAGTTCTTGTACCCATGTGCTAGGTGCTGCTATTTTAGGAACCAGTACTTGTTCTTTCCTGTAGCGTGCTGCCTCCCTTCAATAAATAATCTTTGTGAAGCACAACGAGAGAGACTCAGACCCTGCTTAAAATGCGAAACAGAAATTTGGCAGATCATACATATATAAAAATTGACATCAAAATGATACTCACATATGTTTCAGTTTTCATTGCAAGTTTGTTTTCTGAGAAGTTCAATTATGTAAAATTATGCTATACTTTGGCTGCTCATTTATCACAGCTTGAAATCATATTAATTATATAAAAATAAAACCTCCTGGTATGTGATCCATTTCATGTGCTCTAATTATGGGCCCTGTGCCATCTCATTTGCCTTTTTTGAGTTATTCTGTAATATCTGGAGCAGCAGAACTAATTCTAACTGAGATGGTGTCAAAATTGCAACACTCGTAACATAAGCGCTTGCAAAGGATAGAAGCTGATACGACAATGATGACACTCTGCCATAACAGTTTCTCATTGAAATGAAGAATTTCTTGACAGAAGTAATAGGGAATTTCCAGGCATTTCAAACACAAACTCATTGTTCCATTAAAAGTTGTTCCTATTTCTTCCTTCTCTGCATTTTCTTTTGTTAAAAATACACAGCAGTGAAAACCTCAATACGCTACACAGATCTCTGCAAACAGTATTTTTTTTCAAAAATTGAGAATGAGGATTCGTAAAAGCAGGAAAGATAAATAACGTTTTGGAATGAGATCTAAAGCGATTACTGTTGCTAGAATTCTTGAACCCAAGAGGCTGATGATACCAAATTAACAACAATTTCAAGACTGACATCAAGGTTGATGATCAAGGAATACTAGTCAAAGATTAATAATTACAGTGGAGTTGAGAGGATCAGATCAGCTAGCATGTTTGAATAGTTGAACTAGCACAAGGGATTGCTTACTCACGTTCCTGTGCTAAATCTGACTGTAAGAGGTGAGGTGACAGTGACAGTCATAGAGATGTACAGCATGGAAACAGACCCTTCAGTCCAACTCATTGGTGGCAACCAGATATTTTTAATTAATCTAGTGCCATTTGCCAGCATTTGGCCCATATCCCTCTAAACCCTTCCTGTTCATGTACCCAGCCAGATGCCTTTTAAATGTTGTAATTGTACCAGCCTCCACCACTTCCACTGGCAGCTCGTTTCATATACGCACCACTCTCTGCGTGAAAAATGTTCTTTAGGTCCCTTTTAAATCTTCTCCATCTCATCTTAAACCCATGCTATCTAGTTTTAGATTCCCCTACCCTGGGGAAAAGACCTTGGCTGTTCACTATATCCATGTTCTGTACAGCCACAACACGACCTCCCATCTCCTTTACTCAATGCACTGACAGTCCTCGATGTCGAGGCCACATTTAGCTGAGTGTGGCATCAAGGAACCCTAGCAAAACTGGAATCAATGGATATATGGGGGCAAATTCACCGCTGGTTGAGTCATAGCCAATACATAGGAAGATGGTTGCGGTTGTTGGAGATCAGTCATCTCAGCTTCAGGATATCTCTGCAGGACTCCTCAGGGTCATGTCTTAGGCCCAACCACCTTCATCAATAACCTTCTATTGGTCAGAAGTGGGAACACTCACCAATGATTGCACAATCATTTGTGAGTCCTCAGATACTGAAGCAGCCCATGTTCAGATGCAACAAGATCTGGACAATATCCAGACTTGGGCTAACAAGTGGTGAGTAACATTCACGCCACTCAAATGCCAGGCAATGACCATCCCCAGTAAGAAACAATCTAACCAACACCTTTGGCCTTCAATGGTGTTACCATCACTGAACACCCACTTAGAAAATACTGGCATTTACCATTGACCAGAAAATCAACAGGACTCTGTGGTGAGTAACTCACCTCCTGACTCCCCAAAGCCTGTCCACATTGACAAGGCACAGGAGAGAAATGTGATGGAATACTCTCCACTTGCTCAGAGGAGTGCAGCTCCAACAACACTCAAAAAGCTTGACACCATCCAGGACAAAGCAATCTCCCTGATTGGCACTACATCCACAGGCATCCACTCCCTCCACCGCCAACGCTCAGTGGCAGCAGTGTATACTATCTACAGGATGCACTGCAGAAATTCACCAAAGATCATTAGACAGTACCTTCCAAACCCACAACCATTTCCATCTAGAAGGACAAGGGCAGCAGACACATGGAAACACAAACAATACAAAGTTCCTCTCTAAGTCACTCACCATCCTGACTTAAAAATACATTGCTGTTCCTACAATGTCGTTAGGCCAAACTCCTGGAATTGTCTTCCTAAGGAGATTGTGGATCAACCTACAGCACATAGATTGCAGCATTTAAAGAAGCGCGCCACCACTTTCTCAAGGGCAACTTGGGGCGGTCAATAAATGTTGGTCAACAAATGATGTCCATGTTCCACGAATGAATTGAAAAAAAGAGCTGATGAAAAAAAAACTAGTACTTTCTTTGCTTCAGAGAAAAAAGATAACTTACAAAAATAGTTGGTTTTGGTTTGTAGACATTTTCATCCTCATGTGGGGGCAAGCTCAGAGACAATTTTGTTGCTTGGGCAATAGGATTACTTTTGACTTCATCACAAGAAACTGGTAAGCCATCACCATGCTGCTTGTTATGCAAATTTATCAGAACTTGCTTCATTACTGCCAATTCCTGAAAGATATAAACATAGCTAATATTAAACCAAGTAACCAACACAGACAAGCAACACAGCCACAAAACGCTCTGCTCTCTCTCCAATCTTGCTGATAATTTACCCTTGTTTTGATTTAACAATTAAACAAATTGACAGGTTCATTTTAATAACTGATCTAACATTCAAAAACAGACATTTCAAGGCCAACCTATAATCAAGTGTGACAATCTTTAACCTGTAAATGGAAACAGCAAGGAAAATGTCTATTTTCAGTAAAATGTCCATGGGCATTTTAGAATGGCACAATCAAGATGCCTACGCCCCATGAATAAATTAAAAAAAGGCTGTAAATTCATATTTTATTTGCCAGCTCAAAGAAGACATTAAAAGAATAAGAGACTTTGCTCTGGCATAATGAATACAGATGTTTGGTTTTTTCCACACTTGGGGTGAAGTATATGAGGGGATTTAATGCATTGAATGTACTTTCATTGGTATTTTTATGTAGTGAAGCTTGTGACATTTAGAACTGGACTTCCTTATAGGTCAACCTACAGCACATGGACTGCAGGTCACCACCACCTTCTCGGCGCAACTATGGATGGGCAATAAATGCTGGCCCAGTCAGTGCTGCACATGTCCCATGAGTAATTTTTTTTTTAAATGCTAAAATTCTTTTTCAGAGAGTTTGGAAATGACTTTGGAGGACTTGAATCCCTCACAATTGATCACTTATCTGAACTAATGACTGGTCCATGTGACCTGGCAATCCTTGACACAAAAGCAGTACCAACAGGAAGGAAGTTAAGATACAGGTGCAGTATGCCCAGACATGAAGGAGAGATTTATACACAAAAACTACAAACAGAGGAACCAGAGGGTGAAGGTACAGATGAAGACAATAAAAGAAAACAGGCTGAGCATAAAGAAGAACACAACAAAATCTTATGAGAAGTAATGAATTTTGCTCAAGAAGAGGCCTGTTTATCAGGCAGAATTTAGAGATATTATGAGCTGCCAATAAAGGTCTAAAAGTTAAAGATCTGAGTGAATTGCTCAGAGATACTGAAAAGCTTGGTATTAACCCAGAAATGGCCAAACATCAATTGGGATGTTATAGTTTGATTAGTTGAAAAGGAACTCTGGAATGCTCAGTCATCAGTGGGGCAGAAGGTTAGTAGAATTGTATCTTGCTGATCTAAGTCGTAGCTGTGAAACTTGAAGGCAAAAGCTGTTGTCAGAGAATATTTTGAACTCTGAAGTACCTCATGTATAAAAGGAACAGCAAATTGTGGAACTGTGTAGCTAGCTGCAACATTTGTGTGGGAACAATACAAATGTTTATGACTGCATAATACAAATCATTACAGCACTGACAAATTAATGTGCAATTTATGTATCTATTTAAAGTATCAACTGCCTCTTAATTCACATGTAATTTGCACTATTTCTGATTTGATTTGGAATCCTGTTGACAATTTCTTTACTTGGGAGTAACAGTAAATTTGGTTTTCTTGGTTTATGGTTCTTCCACAAGGATAGCAATGTGGATCACTTCAATGAAGTACTCAACTTGTAAAATTAATTCAGGAACAAGCTTTCCAAGAATTACTTTAAAATGACAACTAAGTACTTTAAATGAATTCTCACCTAACAGTACCATATGCTCCTTTTTTATGGGTGTACTGTACATGCAGTGTTATAAGTTAATGAGTGGAAATTTAAAATTTGATGTTCACCATGTCATTAAGCCATTAACCATGTCATTGCTTAGTTTTGTTTCTGAAGTGCATCAAGAAGTAACATTAGAACATTAAATAAGTGAGTAAAATGTGTAGGGAGTATCAAAAGTCTAGATAGGGGCCTCATCCCCATTTCCCACCTGAGGAAAGATCGATGAAGAGGAAGATCCAAGCTAAATGTGCATTTGAAAAGCTCAGATTCTATTTTTAAGGAGCAAAATAAGGCAAGGATTTTCTTTGTTTTCATACCTATTTAATATACTGCCTCCTTTACATTTAGTATTTATGGTATTCATATTGGGTTTCTTTTGGGGAAAAAAGAAACGTAGGCCTGGATCTTCTGAGAAGCAGCAAACATTGTAGGATTTCTGTTCTGTACGAACTTTGAGATCACGCTCTTCCAGATTTCTTGCTGGGCTTTCCAACCTGGCCTCCTCAGAAACATAGAGCACAGTGTCCCTGGGTCAATTCCATCAGGTCTCAGCACAGTTGGGGAAAACAAACCTTCACCTCTTTTATGGCACTAGCTGTCATTAAGGTAAGTTTGAATGTACAGAGTGAATTAGTGAATGATGAATGAGTGAATGGGTAGGGTGAGTAAAGTAACTGGGTGAGAATTGCAGGTGGGTTAAAGTGGTAATCCCGTCAGGTCAAGGGCTAGTCAGACAGTTGGTATTAGCACGGTCAGTAATGATAGTTGGGTTGGTCAGTATGTAGGTGGGGTTAGTTGGAGAGTCAGGGCCAAAGGTGCGGTGGGGGGAGTGAGTGAAACGGGGTCAGTTCTGCACTTAGCTCTGTACATTATTGCAGTTAGACTAAATTTTAATTTGTTTAAAATTCCTGAGTAACTATCCAGATAAGTACAGCAGAACTGTCTTGCCTTCCACTCAAGTTTAGAGCAGGGAGCGGAGGAACTGCCCATCATAACTTAAAACTTTCAGGACAATTCCCCATGGAGGTGGGTCATATGTGTGGTCTCTGATAATCCACAGACTGGAAGATCTAGGCCAATATTTAGGTTTACTGCAGGGATATTGAACATTTCATTACTTCACTTTCAGCAGCATTTATTCATTAAATGTTGATTAAAATGCTATTGGTTTTTTTACATGAAAATAGATTTAATTGACAACTAAAATATTAAGTTTATGCAAAATAGCTTAAAAAGGGTTTAAGGACAGCAAAGTAGGAATTGGTATACCAGTGTCTTAATCACTTACGTAAGTGACCAGGCATTTGGTGGTTCGTATATTAAAAAAAACTGTCAGTGTACTGCAGCTGTCCTGGAAGGCAGCACAGTTAAAGTCAACTTGCTGGTATAGATGAGACCAGCACAGTATGCAAAATTATTCCAATGGAATTCACAGGGGCTGTTTTAAGTATAAAAGGTAGACAAGTTGTGATCTAAACCATATACTCTTACATTGAATAACTGAATGATGAAAGTAGTACAAATTAATCTGATTTGAGCACAAGATTGAAGATTTATGCTCCAGGCATGAGGACAGTTTACAAAAGCAACTCACAATTTCAATATTTGGTAGATTGTAAGGTAAAAATAGCAAGAAAGATTTTGTTGCCAAACACTTCTGTTATGCAGCTTGGGCCCTTTGCCAATTATCGTGCCAGCTGAACCTCATTAATAGACATCTGGAGATACGTCGGGCCAACAATTCTACAAACAGCTTTAAGTGACACAAACAGGTTGTCTTCTTCAAATTTTCTCCAATGGATTTCACTAGTGTGTTCATTATAAAGTGAGATTCCTTTTCAAAAGGTATAAGGATACATGCATATTTATTGTTACACCATGTGTGATTAATGCACCAACACCACCAACTCCAAACATAATCCTATCCCTTTCAGAATAACTAATATAGCCCTGAATATTTGCTGTATTTTATACCAACAGCAATGACTGCGTTAGTGATCTAAGGACTATAGTATAGAGATGATGGTTTTCAAATTATTACACTGCAATTGAAAGACACCTGATATTAAAAACCAAATCTCCATATGTTGATACAATTTTTAGTATTTATTAAATAGAACCATATTATTTCTTTATTACTAAATACCACAGATTTAAGTTCATCACATCAAATTGATACATGCAGAAGCAACATAAAAATTGATTTGTAAAATGCATTGTTGCAAACAACATATAAGATTTGACAGTTATACTTGTTTGTGCCGGGAAGACTGGTATGTTTACATAATACTTTGTCTGAAGAGAAATTACCTAAATATTATTTTCAATGACCAAATTTCATTATCAATGCTTTATTCCTTTACAATTAATTTGAACACTGAATTAGTTTTTCCTGAAATAGTAAACTGTTGATCTTTGAATGTGAGTTCAACTCCCACTGTGGCAGCTTGAGAATTTGAATTTAGTTTTTAAAAATCTCTAAGTAAAATTGCCATAAAGCTGTTGCACTGATATAAAAACCCAGCAGGGTCAGTATCATATTTCAAGAGAGTATAAGTGGATATTGTCTGTCCAGTATTCTAAGAGATATTTGGTAAGTTTCACAGAAAAGTAGTTTGCAAAAATCAAAGTACAAAGAATTGGAGGCAACCTTATGATAGAAGTAGGAAAGGAGTTGAGAGATAGAAAACAGGCACTAGAGTTAAAGCATACACTTTTAGTTAGGAGGGACATGCAACAAGCTGCAGCTTTTGACAATATTCATCAATGAATTGGCTGGAAGAAGGGTCTTTCGACATAGAAGTAGTGCCCCTAACTCTGGACCAAGAGGTCCGGGTTCAAGTCTCTCCTGCTTCAGGAGTGTAATAATATCTGTGAACAGGTTGAATAGGAAATATCTGGATCAAGGAATACAGAGTTGTAAGCCATGTTTTGATGACACTAATTTGAGACGTGGATTAAGTGTTGAAGATGAGAGGAGGATGTTATAAAGGGTCAGATTTGTTGAGTGGGCACAGCTGTGACAAATGGAGTTTATTTGGGCAAATTGGTGGTCATCCATTCTGGACCCAAGAAAAACAGAATGCATATTTTCCAAATAGTGAGAAACAAGGACCAAATAGATCTGAGTGTCCATGTAAATAAACCACTAAAATTTAGTGTGGACATCTAACTTCGGGGTAAGGATAGAATGGTCCACTCCTGTTTCACATTCTAGTCCAGGCTATCCCAATCTGCGGGTCATCCATGCTGTATGGCTCTATGAGCTCCAAAGCAGCAGTGGCTACCATGGAGGACTGACTGAGGGTTAAAAGCTATGCAGCCCCTTTAAATTGTCTAAATATTTTTAAAACTGGGCGTGGCATAATCTGCTGAATCTAGGCAGGTGAATACTATTTTGCAAAACCTCGAGAAGTAGGTGCTCAATTGTCTTTAAAACTCTGAGAATGAAACAGCTCCCTCTCCACTCTCACAGTTCTTCCCTCAGCAACATCACTGCAACTCTCTCAGCTCACCGCCTACCGTTCATCGCCCCTAATCATCCCGCATGATTAATGTGGAGCATCAAAATGTGGTCCCGACAGGAATACATTTGGGAAGCACAGTTCAATTCTACACAGAATTAGAGGTATTGTATTTTTATTTACGTTCTTCAAAAACATGACGAATGCACAACATTAGCCAATACAAACGGATTCAAATTTAAATCTTAAAAATGAAAGTGTATTATTCTAACTACATTGCCATCAATATGCAGGCTGTTATTTTTCTTACTGTACTTCTTCAGTATAAGAGGAACATAAATGATTTGAAGAATCTCCCAGTAATTAAAAATATAATTTATAGGTATCTTGGTATAAAAGATTTGGATCATGCTTATACTATTTATAAATTCCAGTGTATCAAAGACAAATTTCAAAAGCTTTGAATATGTTTTTATTGGGTATGTGGGTAGAATATTCTTTATTGACTGTTTCTATAAAGTCATTTTCAATGAAGATTATAAATTAATTATCAAACCTGTCACAGTAGCACTATTTTGGGCCTGTCAAACTGTTGGAAGTAAATATGTTTAACTGATGTTAGAATGTATTTCAATTGTGCCCGCAATGGCTAAATTTGCAGCTGTGCATATTACATGTTAAATGAAGGTATTGCATTTTGCAATGACAATAAAAGGTTTTAATAGGAATGGCACTTCCAGATATCCTGTACATAACCCTAACATCCAATGTGTTAACAAAGTAAATCTCACTAATCTTCCACATCAGGAATGTATTTAAAAGATAATCCTGTCACTGCCTATTGTTCTTCCAAAAGCACAAATAACCATTTGTTCATGATCATTTCTCATTAGAGCTCCATTTCTTTGTTCAATCAACTATAATTATATAATTAGCCCAAGTGAACATTAACTCGCTAAGTTTTCATGTTTTTTATGGGCTGGCTATCTGTTGTACCAGCAGCTTGCAAACCATTGTAACTCAGCATTTTCCATCATGAAATTAACTCATTTCAAACTTTCATTCCATTCAAACTTAGAAACAGCTTAAAAGAAACTGCCTTTCCTATTTCTCTTGTCTTTATTTCGTGCCAACTGCAAGATAATTTGAAAACAAATACCTCTCTCTGATTCAAGAGTTTCTCTAGATCTGCTGCCATTCGGTTTTTCATGCGAAGTAAAGCAGCTTTTTCTTTATTTGATTGACTGAAAAAAAGCAGGTACATCTTTTAGCATAATAAGGACCATGTGTTTTATTTAGTAAAGGCTTTTTCCCACTTGGGGTACTTGAGTTGAATAAACAGTAACTTCACACAGTATTTACAAACTTAATATAACTTTTAAGATTAATGCAGGATTACTGACTTAAAATAAAATATTCATAAAGCTTATTTTGATGAAAAAGAAGCAACTGCAAAAGGACAATTATATAATTGAAAAAGTGACATACCAGGTCAGCTGAAAAGCAGTGTTTGGAGGTTAGGTTTAATTATATACACAAATATGGCTAAGTTGATATCAAACATAACTAAATTACTTAGGGACAAGTAGCTACTGCTATGTTCAGCGGAGCCAATTTCTAGTAACAGCATTTAATAAGTCATGTCTGTGCCTGTATTGCAGTCAGAATGGTGACAGAAACAACTATATATTTTTACGGTGAAGGATGCTATTCACTATTTGTCACCCGCTATGTGCCACCAACACTTGGCATCTGCTGTTTGTTTAGCAATTGGTCAAACTCTCACCTTGAAGCACAGGAGGAAATCCAGATTCTCTGGCAGTAATGAGAAGCATCAGTCATATTTACTGGTTTCAGAGCTTTCAGGCTGTTGTTCAGAGGTAGTAGGTTTCTACGTTCACACTTAAGACTAACTTGGTTGTCCACAGAAGTTTGCTCTCTGCTCATATCTTAGCAGGGTTGGGAATAGGAAGTAAGTTCCATCATCAGCATTGGCACCTGTCAAGCAAAGACCTGGGAGAAGGGACTAAGAGGAAGAGACTCGTGCCCATGATATCACCATCTCTGCATCTGTTTAAAGAGCAATTGCTTTGTGCTTCCTTCCTGGCAATATCTCCAAGTGTTCTTGGGTATGTAAAGTGGCCGCTGTACCATAATATTCCACTGTAGTTTTAATAGGAATAATTGGCACAAGAGCACAAAGGCATGGAAACATCATGCCAAGTTGGTAAAGGGTCTTCTACTGGAGTCCACCTGGAAATGTGCATCTCACTCTTGCATTTCCACGCTATTTTGTGTTTTGAATTAGCTCAGTGCGTTTAACAGTTCAGAAGAAGCTCTTAAGATCTGCCAACAATTTAGGTCCACATTTGTGCTGTTTTTCCATTGAGTTATGTTGGAGGAGTGCACTGTTACTCTATTCCCAATACTCCATGGGTCACAACATAAAATAAAACTACTTTATTTTAGTTATCAAGATGACCAATTAAATATCATATCCATATCAGGGTTTTAAACAAGATCTAACAACCAGGTTTCTTAAATATATTTATCGCTTTATCATCAAAATAAAATTTATTTAATGACGATGCATTAATTAGTTAATATATTACATATTTAATAAACTCTTGTTTAAAAAAAATCTGTCCACAGTGACATCTGAATGAACTTCTTGAAAGAAACCACTCCAGCTATTTCCACAAAGCTTGGAAATAAATCATTTTTTCTGAAATCCTTCTAAACTTAAGAGCTCTAAACAATATCAAATATGAAGCATCTTTGTAGCACTGAGTAAGGCCTGAAGAAAGTGCAAAAATGCAGCATGGGAAGTTTTGGTTTCTCTGCAAGTTTTCATGGTAATAGTACAAGCTGGTGATCATGGAGACAGAATAGCTGGGACTAGATAACAATCCAATGATGGTGAGAGAAAGGTAAGATTGACGGCAACAGACAAGTGAGGAACTTCTGCAAAAAACATCTTTTCAGGGGACCTATTCAGCAACATGATTTCAAATATATCTGATTTCAAATCCTGTCTAAGACAAATTGGCAACTGATGTCAAAACAGGGAATAATTCTGTCAGGTGATGCACATTGGTGCTGCCAAAATAAACTGTTCCTAAGGATGGTTATCCTCACACTTATTGCCTGGCTTTTTGAGAATGGTTCACAAATATCCAAAATGTTAGAACTGTCAGAGGCTGTGTCAGCACCGGAGATACGTTATTCCGCAGGCTACAAAAGTTTGTGTTACACAAATTTAGGAATGCTTTGTTAATTGTAAACAATAAATCCAGTCCAAAACGATCTAAATCATGGTTAGTACTGCTGAAAACTTTTTAAAAAACTTAATTCAGGCTTATAATTTATTCGCCACCTCAAGTTCCAACACCAGATCATTATCTGTTTTTATGTTGCATTATAGACACATACTTTAAATGAACTCAAAATTATTACTGATGATTTGTAGATTTTCTGACTGAGGCTTGGTGACAGTCCTGGCAACCAAATTCCAGTTTAAGTTCAAGTTCAACTAAAGTTCAATCTTAACAAAACAGATTAAAAGCTGAACTAAGATTCAGATATATCTGCAAGATACAAAGGGAAGTTACTGTTTCATAAGATATAACTGTTCGAAAGTGCAAGACGTGGCATAACAGCTACTAAGAGGGACTCTTTCTATCACCACTTGAGTTGCACGACTTGATCAATGAGCAAGAGGACTTGGATATGGTAAGTCTGAAGGGGCTAAGGCAAAGCTAGCAAATATACACTAACTAGGTCCTCAAAAAAATTGACAATCAATGCAAAATGCTGACTTTTGGTGTATGTGCAAGAAGGGCTCGAATTTGAAATCCAGTAAGGTGACCTTAAATGATATCAGCCATGGCAATGTTTATTGGGTAGACAAGGTATGCAAAAGCTTTTGTAGGAAATCCTCAAAGCCTATCCATCATCTACAAGGCACAAGTCAGGAGTGTGATGGAACACTCTCCACTTGTCTGGAATGAGTGCAGCCCACAACACTCAAGAAGCTTGACACCATTCAGGACAAAGCAGCCCACTTGATTGGCTTGCCAGGATATTTGGACCTAGGGACAAGCACCTATCTCTCACTGTGGATGAGGATGCACCTCAGGATTTTTCACTTGCTCTCTCATCATGTATTCACTTTGTGCTTATTCGTACGCTCACAACATCTCTGCTTTCTCTTATCTGGACTGTCTTTTTGTGCTTTGCCCCCTCAGCCAGAGGCTAAATGCTGACAGTACCTCTGTCTTGCCTTGCTATTTAGCACAGACAGAAAGCCAAGTAGCTTGTAATGGTCATCAGTCTTGGGGTTAGACATGTTTCTCCTGTGGAAATGTTTTTGTACGGCACCATGCTCTGTCAATGCCATACCTGCACCATATGCCAGCAATGTTCACAGCCGGCACACTGTATGTGTATCAACCAAATGGCCATGCTTCAAAATATAAGGGGTGTATTCATCAGACAGGTCACAATTAGTGAAAGGCAGGGGCTTAGTCATGCCACTTGGGGTGTTCAGGGTCAGGGGTTCTGCCCTTTTATAGTCTTCTTTGCGAATGTGCACTTGTATTTGTATAGAAATATCAGCTGTGCCACCTATGTTCACTGAGAAATGTTTCTTTTTGTTTCCCATCCCACTAGGTATACGATGAAGGGCAACCTCTGGCTGACGATACTTGACCACTGCTGGGCTTTAAACAGCGCCAGCATTGGGAATCACATGCAGTCTTGGCAGTGGTGAGTATTACTGCCTTTGGCAAGACAAAAGATAATATGAAGGAAGTGTCATGGAGGCACAATGCATAAGTATTGAGTTGAGTTGCAGAAAATGAGAAAACATGCTAGGGCTCATGGAGAAAAGCCCTCCATGAAACTATTAAATTGTCTTTTAGGTAATTCCTGGGGAAAAGTGTTCTGCCCTATACTCCATTCCTTTATAGTCACTGGGTCAAAATCCTGGGACCCCTTCCTAATTACACTGTATCTATGCCTCAAAAAGAATAATAGAACGATGTTAACTGCAAAGTTTGCCATCATATTTTCTGAAGAATGACATAAACAGGGCAATGCAAGTCTTGAAAGACATTCAAGAGGATCAAACAGCGAAATACTCAGACAAAGAATAAATCTTTAGCTCAAACAAACAAAATGGCTTTTCTAATGTGGTTGTGGATCTCAGGAATAGCAATCTATAGTTCGTAGTTTGGCGTACATTGTATAGCAATAATTTGGCTCTAGTGATTGGCGAAGTACAACAGAAACAGCTGTATCAGGATGCAGAAGTTATGTTGCAGCCATGCTAAACTCTGGTTAGACCGCACTTGGCATACTGATGTGGGCAGTAGCTACACATTAGGAAGGATATATTGGCCTTGACGGAGTACAGCATAGGTTTGCAAGAATAGTACCTAGACTTCAGGGGTTAAGTTATGAGGAGAGATTATGCGAATGAAGTCTGATTTCTCTCAAATTTAGAAGGTTACGGGGTCATCTAATCAAAGTCTTCAAGATAGCATGAAAAAACGGGGCAGATAAGGATAAACTATTTCCACTGGTTTGAGATTCTGGAACTGGGGGCATATTTTAAAAATCAGGACAAGATCATTCAGCAGCGATATTTGGAAGCACTTCTACACATAAAGGATGATAGAGATTTTGAATTCTCTTCTACAGATGGCCACTGACACCAGATTAGTTGCCAACTTTAAATATGAGACAGATAAATTTTTGTTAAGCAAAAGTGTTTTGGAAGATTTGCCAAAGCTAGGTGCATGAAGTTAGGTTACAGATCAGCCATGATCTCATTTAATGGTGGAACAAGTTTGAGAGTCTGATTGGTGCTCCTCTTAGAGAATTCCTGTGCATTTCACCAAAGTAATTTAGTTTGTGCCATGAGCTGCACGTTTTACTCAGTTTGAATTACTGTAAATCAGAGTAATCAGACAGAAGTAAATCAGAGAGAATTCCAACAAGGCCCATGGATATTAAAAGTTAAAATTAGTTTACATTTTTCCAAGCATTCTAATGTTTATAACGCAGAAACCAGCCATTTGTCCCTGGAGACACATGCAAAGGTTTCTGCTCCATCCACATCCTACTTTAACTAGCCCCATCAATTTATCGTTCTATTCGTTTGTTTCCCATATGTTTACCTACCTTCATCTTGAATTCATCTATAATGTTTATCCCAACTGTATGATAGCAAGCTCCACATTCTAGCCAATCCTTGGGTAAAGGAGTTTCTGCTAAATTCGCTATTGCATTTATTAGTGATCTTACATATGACCTCTAGTTTTGTTCTTGCCTGCGAGTGGAAATATCACCTTCATGTATATTCTATCAAACAGTTTAATAGATTTAAAGACCTCCAACACATTGTCCTTAGAACTTCTAATTTCTGGAGGAAAAGAGAGACCAGCTTGTCTTATCTTTTCTGATAAATATAACTACAGTTAAGCTAATTGTTGTTGATATTTACCAGATTTCATTCTCCAGTTGTGAAAGCTTTTCTTTGTATGTCTGAATCTGAGCGTCTCTCTGGCGTACTGTCTCAATAAGATAGCTGTAAGGTTGCTGTGCTTGATTAAGTAAGGCATTGGCATTTGCAAGCTGGAGAAACAAGAGAAATACTTTGTTGATAATCACTAACAATCTTATTGTGTAACACTGTTAAAACATTCACAAAATCAATCACTAATTGTGCAACAGCCCTGAACGTAAACTTGAAATAATTACAAATTAATGTTTCTGGAAGGAACAAAAAAAAAATGGCAAATTGCTTGCTGGTGGTTTAAAGCAACAAAGACAACGAAATGATCAATTATCAAATAAATAGTAACACTAGTGATTTCATGCATTCTATTAGATATAACTAAGTTAGCTATTATTAAAATTGAGTTTTCAAAGCATTTAATCAAATAACATTATGTATTTAGACTCATTTGTGGTCTGACAAAGGATTATTTACAGTGCCTACATAAGTTTCAAAAAACATTTCTTACCAATCATTCTAACTGGTATTTATTGCTCATGCCCTTTCACCAATACATAACTTATTTCCTTTGTCCTAAAGGTGACAAGACTAGTTTTATACGGAAACATTCACGGTACTCGTGTCAAAAAATTCCAAGTATTACAAGAGCTGTGCAGGAAAGAAATAAAGCTGATAATGAACAGGAATCCAACAGCATACAAAGTCACTTACAACAAACACAGTTATGGATTATCATGGCTCTACTATTTCTATGAATTGATTCTGGAGTCTCTTGGCAAATGCTGCAGGAGTTCATGGTCTTTTATCAGACTACCGATCCTGGTCATAGTCATATAGCATGGAAACAGACCCTTTGGCCCAACTCATCTGTACTGACCAGACATCCCAATCTAACCTAGTCCCATTTGCCAGCATTTGGCCCATATCCCTCTAAACCCTTCCTATTCATATACCCATCTAGATGCCTTTTAAATGCTGTAACTGTACCAGCCTCCAACACTTCCTCTGGCAGCTTGTTCCATACACACATTTTGTGCTGCAAGTGCAAAACAGACATCTGACATTTGTGTGAATGGACAAGTGACTCTAGATGGCCTTAACAAATTGGATTGAAGGATTGTGAAATGAATTTTTCTGTGTGAAAAAGTTACCCCTCAGGTTGGTTTAAATCTTTCCCCTCTCACCTTAAACCTATGCACTCTAGTTTTGGACTCTCCCGCCCTATGAAAAAGACCTTGGCTATTCATCCAATCCATGCCCCTCATGATTTTATAAACCTCCATAAAGGTCACTCCTCAGCTTCTGATGCTCCAGGGAAAATAGCCCCAGCCTCTCCCTAAAACTCAAACCCTCCAGTCCTGGCAACATCCTTGTAAATGTTTTCTGCACCCTCCCAAGCCATATGGTATTTGCTACCTCTAGCCATATATGGTACTGGGTAAGGGCTGTTTGAGGTGGTTCCCTGTCACCAATTCTCCATTTTCTTGGGTCTAACTAGTGATTTTATAAAATATCAAGTCTATTACAATCATATTGAGTCAAACATGTTTTAAGGGAACAAAAACAAAGTTGCTGGAAAAGCTCAGCAGGTCTGGCAGCATCTGAGGAAGGGTCACCAGACCCGAAACGTTAACTCTGTTTTCTCCTCCACAGATGCTGCCAGACCTGCTGAGCTTTTCCAGCAACTTTGTTTTTGTTCCTGATTTACAGCATCCGCAGTTCTTTTGGTTTTTAAGGGAACAAGTTGAACATTCTTGCAGATTCTGTAAGATTCAAGTTGAAATGTCTTGGCAATCTTTTAAACAAAATTTCTGAATAAATAATATTGTTGGGAAGAATAGAAATAGCAGATACACCACCTTAAGAGTATCTACAGAATAGACACTATTCTTAGTTAACAAGAAGGTTTATGGCATGACAGCAATAAGTGGAACTATATTTGGTCAGGAGTAATTACTAGGACCTTAGAGAGCTTGTCCCGATACATCAGTTTTATCTTAAAGCAAGAATAGAATTCCTCATCTCCAACCACAGTTAACAGGTGACGTCCAGTAGAAAGGGTGAAGCCAATGTAATATTAGCATTAAACAGAGGTGTGACAAATAAAACCCAGTTCCATACTTTTTCTGAATCTGTCAGAAAATTTTAACACTACTAGAATTACTATAGAAGAACTATGCTGGAACACCAACCTCAACCTCTCTTCATCCGTGCAGTGTTCACTGCTCCACATCTCAAATATCATCAAATACAAGGTGATTTCAAGGCTTTCTGTGGCTCAGGGATCGACCCAATTTATGTAGCTCAGTCACTAATCATCTAAGTGCTATAGGTGAAACCTCAGTCTAAATTTGATGTCAAAGTAATGGTTATGATGCACAAAAGCAACTTCACAAGAGGAAGATGCATAATTAAACATGGATATCGAAAAGATTGTTGGTTGAGATTCCCCACTTCACATTGGCTTGATAAATAAGGCATCTCACTGTCTACCTCATCACTGAAATGCACTGAATGGTAAAAATTTGCAATATTTACATGGTGGGTACAATTTAAACTCTCAACTGGAAGTCATGAGATCTAAGTATCCTTTTAATTGTGTGATGTTTCAATTACTCATACAACAGTCCTGGCACTAAACACTAACCACTACAAGTGTGGAGTTTCATTCCTCCTAGTTTTAATCAATTTTTTTTTAAAATGAAAAAATGTACAATTAATAATTCTTTTAAAACTTTTCCTTCACCTATTTACTCCTCTTTCTCAATCTAATCTTTTCCTTCTTCATTTCTCTTTTTGGATTTTTAGTCTTTATTTTGAATTCATTCACTCTACACACTCGTAATCCTTATACTGTTAATTTAGTAATCCTTCAATCCAAATTATTAAGGAGATCCATATTTGCTTGTCCATTCACACAAATGCCAGATGTCTGGTTTGCACTTGCAGCAACTTGGAACATTAAAATTTCAAAAACAGTAAAATCTTAAAATAAAATTGATGTATCAGTACAAGTTCTCTAAGGTTCTAGTAATTACTCCTGACCAAATATAGTTCCTACTTATTGCTGTCATGCCATAAGCCTTCTCGTTAACTAAGAAATGTTTCATTCCTATAACAAATTATCAATCAGACTGAACCAGATTAAAATTTTCAGAATCTGATTACCATTCTTTATCTACTACCAATTAAAAATGACCAACTTCCTACATGCTATTTCAAACATCAAGTCCAAAAGACAATTGCTAGAAGCCAATTAGGAACTTGTTAAACCCAGTCAACTCAACAAAAAACAGCCTTTAACACTACAAGTAGATAACCAAATGCTACACTGAACACTGTCAGAACTTGGTAGGTTCAGTGAATGTTCATTTATAGCTAAATTGTCAAAGTCACTCTGTAATACATATTGAGAAAGTTGAGCAACAGATACAATCGATGCACAACACCGAGACTGTCAGTCAGATGTACTCCCTAACCATTTCTACGCCCGTACTTAGACAATTTCCTAAGATCATGGTCATTTAGCCAATTATGATGGACATCATCATTATTTCAATTGCTACTGTGAGGATAAAAATTACTTCCACAGTATAACATGGCCAGCTATGTCTGGTTGAAGGATAGCATAAAATAGTTTTTGCTCTTTAATTGTTCTATGATAAATTATCCCAAAGCTGACCCTTTAAAAGCTGGACTAAAATTGCTTAACTTGAATTACTGTTTCTTTTCATTTACCTGCTGGATCCAGTTTACCTATTCACTTAAGTATTGCACGTGAACATTTCCAGCCTCCCCTCTGCGCCAAAACCAAATGTGCCCCCCAATTCCCAATTCCATTTCGCTCTCTTGATCGTTCTCTCAAGGTTTAGGCCTCCCATCTGATCGTTCACCCCCATCAAACTTTCTGGTCTCCAATCTTCCATCTATTCTCCATAATTGGTAGTCTTCCAGATTCCTCCCTTCCTTTCTACTCCCTGCCTGGGTCCCCAGAACATTACCCGGATCTCTGGATTAATAATCTAGTGATAATACCACGAGGCCAGCGCTGCCCAATAACTACCATCGTTCCTTCATTGCAAGCCATTTTCATCTTCAGTAGCTTCCATCGCCATTTGGTCCTCATTCTCTCTCATTTTCCCTTGCTGCTAATGCAAATAATTTCAGTTACATCATGCTGTACGTAGGAAGCCCTGATCTTACAAGAATTTCTGTCTCTGATGTACAGCAGCCTGGATCTCTTGCACTAATGGCAGGACTGGAAGAATGGCACTAAGGCAAAAAGCCTGGTCTGTGTTGCTTTTGGCAGCAAATATTAACCAGGCCACAGAAATGTAAATATTACTGTGAAAAGCTGAAGGTACATTTGACCTCTGGCTATTTTTAATTGATGTTTGCAAATTTGACATTCAGCAAAACATGCTTCATTAAATTTGCAGTTCTTAGATGCCTTTTTAAAAAATTAATAAAGCAGCCAATTATTAATAATAAAATCTGAAAAAGATCAGTGCTTTTTTATAAACTGTGGGCAAACACAGAAACTGCCTCTGCTAATCTTAGTTTATATCTAAATCTAGATGACTAAATCCAGCCTAACTTGACCATGGTCAGTTGCTTTCTTGTTTACAACTGAAAGATCAGAAACAGTGATTTCAAGAATTTTCTTTCCCAAATTTCTTTTGAAGTTAAATCATTGAGTAACAAAAATATTGTGAAAATAAGCAAAGACTTATTTTAATTCAATTGAAAGAAATATTTGTTTATAGCAAACCTCAAGAGAATTTAAAATGTTATTTGTGTTCAAATTGTGAATGTTTGGCTCCATGAATGTGTGTAAATACATCTTTTACATATGATTATGTTAAACAATTATTCCACAGTTCTGTTTTTGATATTTCATAATTCAGTTAATGACACAGACATTAATTTGAAATAAGAATTTAAGCTTTTCAGAACAGACAGTTCCTGAAAAATGCAAGATTTACAGCATTTCTGTTTTACAGTACTGGGGCTCTGGATAGTCCCATTCCCTGAAGTACTACTTGCTGATGACTACAGTTTTGCTGCATGCCTTTCTAAATTATACATATCCCTTCCAAATCATCTTGAATTATGA